TCAACGGTTCCGATTCCGTCGGATGCGTTGGAAGTGTCTCTTCAATCGGCCTCGATCCAAGAGCAATCCAATGACCTCCTCCTGCTGCCCTTGCGCTGCGCGATGCAGCGCCGTCATCCTGACCAGCCGAGGTCTCCACCCGAGGTCAAGCTGTATGGAGGGCTTGCGCCGGGTGGGGTTGGTCGTCCATCCAAGCCGTTCACGGTGGATGCGTTGGACCTGGTAGGTGGACCAGGCTGGACTGCAGGACTGCGTGTCTTCGCCCTGCGCTTTTTGGGTTTGCGGCTTGTGAGAATGAAGGAGAAACCATGATGAGGATCATGTGTCCGATGCCTCCTGACAGGAGTGTCTCCAAGTGGCTCATGGCTTGGTGTTGTAAAGTCCTATAAATCATATGGTGTTTCAGTTGGCACCTTTGATGATGTACAGCACCATTTGGAAGCTAGAGATGTCTAGACCCCGAATATTCCCATATTTCAGAGGTTCCACATAGAAAAACACAACTTAAAATTGCAGGTAACCATCTCCAGCAACGTTCTGTTCGCGATGAGAAGCACGGACTTATTCGCAGAAGGCAACGTGAATAACCTGGAAGACCACAAACACTTTTTGGGACACCCACAAAACCCGGAAAATGATAAAGGCAATTCCAAGTCGGACAAAAATGGATTCCAGTCCGACTCTGGATCATCCTTGTTTAACTTTGACAGTCCGACGTCTGGAAGTAAAGGACACGTGCAACTGTTTGGCAGGACATGTCCCATGCTTGTTGATCTAATTCAATATTCAACACTACAACATGTGAGGTTTTGTAAACTTGAACCATCAACCTTTCTCTGATTCCTGTTTACAACTGTCATCTGTCTTGTGCATTGTTGGCATTAGCACAGTACTTCTGCAAGTGTACCACTTCCAGTTTCCTTCCCTTTGTGTTTCTCCAAACGCACGCGCCGACGGCCAGGACCGACTCCGTCGTGGTCGTCCGCAGCGACGGAGTCGTCGGTCTGAGGCACTTTTCATCGTCCAGGGCGGTGAAGTCTGCGTCGAAGTAATCCAAAAGCCTCAGTTCGGACGCCACACGAGAAAACGTGACTTTTCACATATTCGACGATGTTCGAAGACAGACATTCAGAATCAGAAGAGAACTTGAATAAAGTAGTATATACTATGTAGTAGTACTTTCAAGAACAGTAGTACTACTTTCAAGACAGGGCCCTCTTGTTCTTTGGTCTGCCACTCGGAATGAGAGCTGACCACGGGACAGAAACTGCCTGGCCCCAGCTTCTCAAGTTGGTGTGAAGTTGACAAGGCACCACGTAGTGGATGAATTCACCCTGCTGTTTGACGGGTAAACCAAAAACATATCCCATGTTCAGCTCACCTATGCTCACCTTGCATATCTCTCAGAAGAATAGGTCGTGCATACTTCACTGTTTTTCTCTATCCTCCCTATCAAAGGATTGAATCTCCACACCACCCAGCTTGGTTGGTTTATAGATCCATCCATGTACCTCCAATGCTGCTCCTCGCTGAGTTCCCCCGGCTGTAGCGCTGGCATGTCTCCCTTGTAGGCTGCCCAGTGTACCGCCGTGCAGCCCCGCATGTCCCGCACCTGCAGCAGCCGCTGCAGCGTGCTCGGCCCGTGCGTCGCTCCAGGCTCATTCGGTGCGACCAGGGCGATGAGGAGCAGCATTGCCTTGGAGCGCTTGGGGGGTGAGGGGAACTGAGCAGGTCGTGATGAGTGAAACTGGTTCATGGAACGCATTTTGGAACATTCCTTGTAACACTGTAGAAGTACCTTCATGATGTGGTATTTGTTTCATCCATCAGCGACTTGGGGAAAAAGAAAGGGGACATCGCTTCAATGAGATGTACCAACCGCCTCCAAGCGTTTCTCAATCAGAAGATTGGCGAAACCCACTCCACTTCTCCAAGCGACGCCCACGTGCGCGTGCTGCACCGCCAGGATCAAGGGCGATGCACCCACGCTGTCCTCACGCGGCTGCACTGGGTCGGTCAAGCAGACGAAGTAGATCCGAAACGCTTTTTCTCCACAGAAGTAGGTGATGAGTCGGTCGAGAGCAAGTTGAGCAAATTGTAGTCCTCCAAAAGACCCCTATTTGATAGAACAACGAGCCAGCCACGGTGCAAGAAGTGCTAGGTCTGTAGGATGCCGAACCTTAGAGTATGAGACAAACTACCAAAGGATGACCAAGTGACGTGTGCAAATAATGCGCTGGTCAGACATGCTCAGACATTCTGAAGACATTCCGAAGACCCACTTTTAGCTTCTCCGACTCTCTCACCCCGGAGCAAACGGATTGGCTGCATCCCGCCTGTGCAAAGGGATCTGCTGAGGCTTGCAGAAGCACCTTTCCAACCTGCAGTCAAGACGGCTTTGAGGCTTGAGCATGGGGCTGGCTTTGGTAGAAACACTCTGCGCCAGTGATTTGTGGAAATGGACTCGGACGAGAAATCCGATCTCTTGTCCATCCCAATCAGTATAGCAAAAGAACTTGTGGTGAACGACATGTGTTCTTTCTACTATATTACACTCCGTGAAACAATCATGGAAGTGGGCTAGTGGGCTACTGGAAGACTGTTTTCCTCTACAAATGGGTCCTGGTCAGCTTCCGTGTTTGTTGGAGTGAGGGTATCGTTCTTCTTTCTTTCTCCAAGCCAAACAACTCTTCGGGACCTCTGGAGCGAATCTGGATTCGGCACGTCCTGACCTCTGGCATGGCATAAGGAACGCACTAATGGTTCTGCAGAAACATCCACAGAAATCAACAAAGCAAGGGAACCCATGTTTCCCTATATACATGCAAGGCTTGTCCGGAAATTCTGTGAAGAAACATTGAATGATGGGCTGGATCTAACTGTTTGGTCATCTTGTCCAGGCCATGTCATTCACTTCCATGTTAGCTACAGGGAGTGTATCCATTCACCACATGGCTCGACACCATGTTTTCACTCAGGAACATCGACTTCTTGGATTTTGGGGTCCCATTGCACAACAATGTGTCTTTGGTCCTGCTAGTCTTTGAACACATCATTTACAGTAATTTCATACACTAGAACATTACTTCGATGTAGTTTGTAATAAGCAAATTATATACAAAAAAACATCAAACAACAACAACATTATTGTTGGGCCGATTCTAATCTATACTATTCTAGTATTATTCTATATTCTATATAGCATCCCTGTCCATCGGCGCCTGCAAATGTCCACGGGTCATCGCCCACATCAACGGTGTCTGCAGGTTGGAAGCTCGCACGTCCACCTAGTGCGCCCAGCCGCGCCAGCGACAGAGAATCCACTCAAAGGTCCATGGTCCAAGATTCGATGCATGGATGGATGTCATTGATCAAGGAATGAGAGGTTATATAAGTGACCTTATAGGACCCTACTGGGGTACCTATGGGATAGTCAAACTAGGGTCTTTCAACCTCTGGAAGGAATGAGAGGCACATCGAGGCAAAGTTCTTGATGTTTGAAGATTTAGGGAGGGTTCAAAGAAGGGAAGGTTCCTACCTCCAAAGGCAGACATTTGGATGAGATCCTGAAGAGGGATCCTTGCTTGCAGCATAGGACCACCGGAACCTTGCTGCAACATGGCCGGGTCTTCAGGCAACAAGGCTGTGAAGAACTGACCAATAGCGCCGGGAAACGAACCAAATATGGGGGGTAACTAATCAAGAGCCTACATTATAGGGATCCACATACCTTGTCAGAAGGTACTTGGACCCTCCTGGCGCCTACATAAAAGTGTTTCCAAACAAGCCTCAGAGCGAACGAACACTCTGAAAAATCAAGCCCGCCGACATCCACAAAAATGACCCTTGAGACACTATAATAGACAAACAAAGGTGATAACTCATAACTGAAAACTACATAACCCTTTTCCACCCGGTCTGCCTCTCTGCTTGGGCGGAAAAGGATCCTCAGCCCTCCTTGCCCACCCCTTCATCACGCGGCAGGAAGCACTCTTTCGCGGCCAAAACGGCAGCGAAGAACGCGAGGTGTCCATTCGGCCGAGGCATTGGAAACACATCAGCCGAGAGCCAAGTGACACACTCCGAGTGTCCTCTCTTGATTCAGGATCTATTTCCGTCCGTCGTTGAGTGATTTACAAGAAGGTAGTCGAGTCTATATTGCTGTTTCCCAAACACTCCTTGGACTCTCCATAGCTGGGGTCTGGTCTGGACCCTTAAAACCCTTTCCAATTTCATTCGGATATTTCGTGAAGGTTTGGGGGGTTGGGGTGAGTTGCCCCATGAGTTGAATGATGTCCTTGCTTGGATTTGCATAAGGAAGCGGGAAAACATTTCCAGAAGGGGATTCACCCATAGGGAAAATGGCACAACACCCTAAGCAAAACCAAGCTTGTCCTTCCCCAATGGACCTATATTGACCACAGGCGACCGAACACAGTTTCTAAACTTCGGGATTTCCAGTAGTGTCTGTGCTCGTTTTCTAGCGTGTCCAAGAATGGGGAGGGGTGGCAGGCACTCATCGAACACAAAGGGTCAAAGCCTTCCGATGATCCAATTCCAGTGTCGGGTACCAAAACCTCCCATCTTGAGTACATGATCTAGAACCGCTGTTTTGTTGGGGGAGACCCTTCGAAAGGTGCTGTGATGGTAGACCCTCAGCTTTCAACCACCATCGATTTAGAGTATATTAATGTGTTTTTCTCGTCATTGAAATATTTAGCTTCTGAATATGCATTGGAGGTACGGGGTCAACCACAAATCCGGGGTCAACCTAACTCTTTTAGTGGTCGGACGGAAGATGACCATGTATCATTTTTGTATTTCATGTCTCTAGTCCCACGACCCAGCGACCAAGTGGTGTCACGACGGTGGCTGATGAACTTGGTGCAAGTAACAGTGGCCGCCTCTTCCCAGTAGCTTCGCAGAAAAGCACAGCTGTGCATCTCAACTAGCATCAATCCAATCATGCAACGTCATGAGTAAGGGGATCCACAAGAACACTTGAATGTGAATTGTAGTGAAGTGTCTGTCTCAACTGTTTTCATCAACAGTTGTCATTCACAGAACAAGTAACAAGAAAAACAACGTGAAATCAAAAGCTTTCCACCACATCCGTACGCTCATGGATTTTTGTTGGGCAAGTCGTCTCCAGAGGTATCGAATGGTCCAGAGCTTTTGAGGTCAAATTTTGGCAAAAGAGAGTGGACATCCACGTCTTCAATGAATCAAACCTTTACCCTCAAGGTCCAGAAACTCATAGGGGAAGAAAAGACATATAACAACATTGACCTGTCTGATATGTTCTGATCACTGATTTACTGAAATCGGATCTTATTCCACTCATCATCTGGAAGATGCGGTGATGGTTCTTCTCCGGCCTGACTCCCCTGTGCCGCTCCGCTTTGGCTTGCGGAGGGGTCAGCACAGTGGAGCACGCGCAGCGCGGGTCGGCCGGAAGGTGAAGGTCGGTGAATTCCGTCCGACGGTCCGGTCAGGGCCGTTTGTAGGCCCAAAACGGGTCGAACTTGATCGGACTGTGCCGAGGTTGGATGAGGTTGGTCGAAAGATGAAGACTTCAAAAACGGAGAGATCGCTTTTGGGCTTCCTTGGACTATATCTAAGTGCATGGTGGCCGTTTGTTCTTCTTGAGTGTCACTTGATGTCACTATGTCACTTGCTCGTGAATGTGAGCAAGTGGCATGCAATGATGAGGAGCAATATTGAACAAACTGTGTCGACCTTGAAACCTCCAATGCGCAACAGCTACTCTCTTAAACCAAAGACAAACTACAGCTGTTCCTACAAGGCCGTGGGTCGAGTCAAAACCCATGTCAACATGAGGAAAGTTCTCAATTCATAAATGTTCTACCAGTGTTGAGGAAGAGCCTGCTCTAGAGTTTCTAGAATGTGTTTCATGTTTGGTAATGAGGTACTTGCTAGCCGGCCTCGTTCTATCAGCAAGGAGCTCAAATCAGCAGTGAAAGCTTTGGGTGTAATCTGAAATAAACAAAACTATCCACCTGCGACACCAAGCTGCTACGCCGCAAATCTGAAGCGCTTCAGCGCTTCATGTGCGGCCTGCCTAACTGCCTTCCGCCAGTTGGCGGTTCAGCCGAGGTGAGGTGAGGCAAAAGCACTTCCGGCAGCCCAAAGAGTCGATTTCTCAAAGGTTTGCACATGCTTGCACTACAAATTTACACCTTGCACCACGACTTCCGGGAGGATGCCCTGCTACTATATTATACTAAATTACACCCTAGAAGTCAAAGACATCATTTTACTGGGCATGGTCATACAAAACCAATACTTAAGGAGGTAGTCTAGACCAGGTTTTACTGGGTCAGACTGGACTTGTAGGGACAGAGAATAGAATATCATGACAAAACCTCTCTGCTTCTGATTTCTCGCTCTGCCCTGCTTCGGCTAACACCCAAGGGCTCGCCGTCCCTCAAGGAGGTCTCGGCCCTGGAGATGCGGAGGTTGGAGCAAGCAGTAGCAGTGGTGTGATGCGGAGAATTTGAGGTGGGTTGCTATAGTTGTTTTTTTTGGCTTGGGTTTGGAAGTGGGTTTGGTATAGTGGGTTTGTTTTTGGCTTGGGTTAAGTGGGTTTTGGTATATACAGTGGGTTTGCTATTATACTTGGGTTTTCGTGGGTTACGTGTTGATTGTTGGGGCTTTTACTTGGGGCTTAATTTGAGTCTAGTGGAGTTAGTTTTATTGGTGGGTTTGCTTTGGTTTGGCTTGGCTTGAGTGAACTCTCCACTTTTCACATTTACTTGGACCATGGACAATTATTGGGCCAATTAGGGAGACCCTAGAAAGCCAATGGCTGATAGTTCGCTGTACTTCTTTCTCGAGGTGTTGGCAAGGTCCCCTACTCTCAATCTAGACACCCACAATTTGCGTCCGACTTTCCCTCCTTTGAACCAGCACCGCGCGGTGGGAAGCGCCTTGGCAAGGCCTTGCTTGGCCTGTCGCACAGGTTTGGCCTGCCGGAGAGAACCGGACAGAGGCTCGGACGGCAGTCCGCTACCGCGCTTCATATCGCTTCATTCCACAACCATGATAATCCAAATGTGACCTTATTCCCATGCACCCAAATACACGCATTTCTAGACATTGCCACGCCAAACGCAGGAAGTTCACAAAAACACTCCCGCGCATTCCCAAAGAAACCATCGGACTGGACTATTTGCAAGACAACATATTGGGGGTGGGGTTTCGACATCTTCTAAGAGTCAATGTCTGGTAAAATATTGACTGGCCAATCACCGTTTGGGTTTCACCATGTTTTTGGGGGTGGGTTTCACATGTAAATCAACGGTCTTCCATGCACTCTGGCCCTTGGACCATCCTCGCCGCGCCTGCGTTTGCTTCGTGGGCGTCGAGGTCGAGCGCTCTTTGGCCGAACTCAACAGCCGTGGGTATGGCGCCGCGCTGGGCGATGCCGAGAGCTCCGGCTCCGGCTCGGGCGCGGCCTGTGGTGCCGCCGATGTGGCTTTAAAGGCGTGGAAGAACGACAATGGGCACACCACAGTGGTATCATATGGTATCTAGCCCGTTACATGCTGCATGTTTGAGATCTGAGGTCGTTTTGACTCAGAAGCAGTTGTTGTTGCTGCTGCTGTTGTTCTCGTTCTTGTTGCGCTCAGCCCAGCCTTGGGTGCTCGTTCCACCAAGTCTGGCTCTGGTAGCACCTGCGGAAGGTCCCGGCGGAAAGGACGTTTCCTTGCTCTGGCGGATCAACATTTGGAGACCTTGGTTGACCACCAAATGATCCGAATAGACATGGCTCTGAGGTCCAGGTTGTGACCCAAACCTGGCCTTGCTGAACACCGGGAGCTCCTTCGACATCACGTGGTCAATCATCTCAATCACTTGCTCCGCAGGCGGCGCCGGCGCAGCCGCTGGTGGCGTGTATTGCGGTGAGGTCTGGAGACGGGGAGAGTGTACGGAGCAATCCCAGACACAGGAAGATGTCGGGAGGCTCAAAGGTGGGTTCATGAACAGTCATTAACAAACTATCAACTAATTTAATATAAAGACATTGTTGAACATGTACGGAATGCATCCGAAGGCATGTAATAAGCCTGCTCTTGACCCTCGTGCGGATGCAGCTCACAGGATTCGCTGCGGAGTTCGCCACCACACCGTAAACCGCCGCTTTTACTCCGAACTCCAACGGCCACTCCGAAGGTATGACACCGATCGTTCGTTCTCTGCTGAGGCTCCATACTCCCAAGGATAAAAACAGAACAGTTAGCTGGACGCTGGAATCTCAGAATCGCATCAACTTCACAGTTCATGGCCTTCTCCTCCAGAACACGAGGAGGTGTCTTTGGAGCTATCCTCGGAGAGCAAGGGCCGAAGGCGGAGCGCAAGGGCCGAAGATGGAGCGCAAAGACTCATTTTTCCTGATCCATGAGGGTCGGGAATCTGTGTAATACTCGCAGTGTATCTGCCAAGTCAGAAGTTGGCATGATAAGGATGGCCATCCACCCCCACAAGCGTGGTCCACTAGTAGACATAAACTGGGACGTGGGACTGGTCAGCGCTCCTTGGAAGGGGAGGCTAGCACTTAAAAACTGCCGCCTGCCTGATATCATTTGATTACAGTAAACAAATACAAACTATACAGCAATATACAGCAATAAATCATCTTCAGCTCTGATTTCTGAACTCCAGAGTCTTATATCTCGTTTTATCATGTTGTAATGTTTCCACACGACACACTCCGAATGGCCCGCGCAGTGAATTGCCCCTTGTTTACAAAGAAAAGAGAGAGGGCCGGTGAAGCCCCCCCGGGAGGGATGTTTTATGACACACATTCCATCGTTGTGCCCGGTGGCCAGGTCCAGAAACGAGCGAATCAAACCGAACACCGCACCGCACCGAACTCGTTCTCCCCCAAGGCACGTCGAGACCGTGGGTTCCTCGACCGGTGTCACCACAATCGTCGGAGGCTGGATCATGATAGAAGAAGCTGCCGGTTCCGCCTGCGGCAATCGGTTTTGGGTGGAACTGTGTGGTGGGATGGGGTCGGATGACACTTTGATGTAACTTTGATGTAGTCGGGTAGGAGTTTCTAGGGAAGGTTAATCGAACATAGACCTTAAAGGGGATGCTGGATGTTGCTTTTTCCACTTGGGCACAACAAGTGCAACAAGAACGCCCCGATCACCCCTACTGTACTGGAGCCCTTGTTAGCCAAAATAACTATCGATAATGAAACCCATCTATGCTCGCTAATGTACACTCTTGATTAGTATAAACCCCCATTTGGATTGCAAAAGAGTCTACGTTATAATCACGGTTGATGAAACTCTTCTCACCACAAAAACAATGAACAACATGTGTTAGCAGGAAAGCCAATCCCCATCCATCACGTTGCAAGTGAACTATTCAGTGCTTGAAGGTTTTCGGATGTTTTTCAGTCTACCTCATGGAAACACCTCTTCTGCAAGAACACACCGTGAGCTGCATCGCACAACATCCGCCTGGCCAGTGGCCCGCGCAGGCCGGGACGCCGTGCGCGTAGGCAGCGTGTGCGCTTTGCCGGGCGTCACGGTGGGTGTCAAGGCACCGGTAGAGCGCGCGCGAGGGGTGGCGGCGTCTGAAGTGGACCTTTCGCTGCGAAGGAACGGCAGGTTGAGAGGGACATATATGGAAAGACCGAGAGACCCAGGGAAACCAACAGGAACAACAACATCTATAGAAACCAAATGAGAAACAAATGCAACTTGAAACATGTTCGTGTGTGGATCCTGGGCATCACCCAAAGCCCTCCAATCACCACTCTAACATTGCAACTCCTGGTGACTATAACCGTAAGTCTTCTTGATCTTCTCACTGCCCAGCCGAAGATCCCTGGGACAAAAATACATGCTTCACCCAACGAACTCCACCGGGTCATGTTGACTTAGTGAAGTGGGAAGTGTATGGAAGTGTCTCCTATCCCCCAAAGAAAGGCATTACAAACGATCCACTTTTCTGGGTGAAGTTGTATTGAGGGACTTGGTTTTGCCCACTGCGAAACCTCGTGGCCTCCAACCACCACCGCCGAGTGACATCATGCTCGCAGCCACACGGCCAGCGGTGAAGGCGATCTTCGCCTGCGCGAATATTGGGTGGAGTGGGATTGGGGGCTTGATTCGGCATCCCTATAGAATCTGATTACAGGCAACTTGAATGGGCTGTCAAATGCCCATCATTGTCAAATGCCCATCAAGCCAACACTCATGTTTGTTCGACGCCGGCGCAAGAAACCGGTGAACCTTCTTTTCTGTCGAACATGGGTTATCGAAGACTTGGGGAAGCAACCGGTAGCCCCCGCATGAGGAGTGAGAGTCTTGAGGAGCTTCGACAAACCATGACGCCCACGCCACGCCCACGCCACGCCACGCTCCGTCCGCGCCATCTCCATCTCCAGCTGCCAGGTGCGCCGTGCGGCCAAATGCCGCTCGGAGAAGCGCAACGGTTCCGGTCCATCCGACTGAGCCGGGTCGGGACGTCCGGGGCAGGGATGGTCCCATGGGGTGGGCCTTCTTGGTCGGTGGACACCGGGAATTGGAAGGTTGAAGGCTTCTATAGAGGAGAGTCTTTGGATGGGAACCCCAAAGAAAGACATCCTTGGGGTCCTAGCTGCTCTGGAAAATCGTAAAACTGTCGCATTCTTCATATTATGTTGATTCTGGATGTGTATGATGGTTGTTTCATGTTGCTTCAATGATACTGACCTTGATTCGCCCAACAGATCCCAACAGGAGATTTTGTAAGGTCAGGGGCAACTCCGCTGAACATCTCAAACCTTAATTGCTTTACAGTGGTCCTGCACAAGTGGTACCTGGGTGGGCAATCGTGGGCACACCAGTCAAGAAGTCGCTAGAATTGTCCTCCCTATAGATCTCCCGTGTACCTAAAAATATACTTACATAATGATAGGCGGTTTTGTTTCACACCGCTGCCGCTGCCTGAGAACTTTTCAACAGGGCGTCTCCAAACCATTTTTACCAACAAACAGCCTACACACAGTGGCTTTTCCATCCAACATGGACTCGCACGACTTACATAAACTGACACGAACTGGGCGCCCCAGGCTAAGAACAGCGCTGAAGGCAGCGCTTGTGGCGGCACCACGCGCCGCGCGGGCGCCGCTGGTGGCGTCGTGTCGTCGGTGGCGAAGGGCTGCGTGTGCTGCGCGGCGACGCGGCGGCGGGGTCCTCAGCGGAGCTGTCCGAAGATTCGGCGGTAAGAATGCTATAACAAGTGGGTGTTTGGTATCTTCTATCGAAAGCTATGGCTAGAAGCCTCAATAGGTCAGCAAGTGATCTCAGAAGGGGTGTCAGTCAGTGTGATTCTCTTACTTAGAATGTCGTATCAGTTCTATATAATATACAGTATATTATACATATATGTTCCTATTTGGTGAGAGTCAATTGTGGAGGTTGGCGTCCTCAAGCCGGTGCATGATATCTACTTGCGACGGGCGAGGGAGGTACTACGTTTTTTTGATTGAATCGCGTCAAATAGATTCATTCTGAAAGGTTACTTCTGTGTGTCCACACCAGGCGGGAAATTCGGGAAGGCAAGGGTCAAAAAATAGCCTCGCGAAGCGCGAAGCCGATGATTGGGACAAAAAAAGAACCACTGAGCCTGCAAACAATGCTCCAATTTCTGAATCAACATGGTGTGGCACGTCTGGAACCTCACCACAACCACCACGTCATGATGACTAAGAGTGCTCACATACTTCTGGATAATCAAACTTGCCGTCGCTTCGTTGCTAATGTTTGCAAGAGGTGCCACAAAACTAGACACACGTTCCTCCTTTTTTTCGCGTCCAGTTGAAGAACACCTAAGAAAACCGCATTCACAGCAGGGGCTGGAGGGGCCGGGGCAACCTCGGTATTGCAGAGTCAGTCTCACTTACTGATCCCCTCAATTCAGTGGCAAAGTGTCAACCAAAATGGAGCTGATTCTGTGGCAGCTGTGCTTTGTCCAGGAGCTGTTTGCAGGAATTTACCATGTCACAGAGGCCACATGTTTACTACCAGAGCTCACGAGCTTCGTCATGATCACTTCAACTGCAACAGAAACCCTCGTCTCCTTTGCAGGGCCAAGAACTAAAATCGCCTTTCCTCTCGCTCCTTCAGCCAACCCATTCGAGCATACGTACTTGGAACCGGCAAATCTGAATATGTGAAGAGCAAGTGGGGAGTCCAAAGCCAAGTACAACACATCAAACTTGCGAAAAGCAACATTGTGAGCACGAAATAGCCACCCATCTCCACGCCAAATTAGCCTCGAGTGTTTGCATTCAACTCGCAAACCATCTCTATTCCAATCGCATGGTGAGTTGTAAGCTGTTGAGGCAAGCTTTGAACCAGGATGGCCAAACATATCTACTTCTTGCACAACCCGCTCATACAACAAAGCACGTGCAGACGGGGTGAGAGAGTTAAATGGATGTTGTGCATAAGCTTCTCGTTGGAGCTTCAATGATGCCTTTTCCGTATGCTGCTGCAACGCTGCAAGCACCAATACATCAAAAGTCTTTAGGGTCGTGATGCACCGACCAAACTGCTGAAGCTTCTTGAGAACCACGTCTTCTGCCTCTGCCCAATTCAGCAAGTTTCTTCGAGAACATACATCTATGTTCAGTCCAGCATGAGCTGTTGAAACCCCTGTGGTTGACAGCCCGGTCTTGCAGCTATGTGTGAACAAATGCAGTCCGAAAGGACTGTAGAGTACCAATACCAACTCATCAAAGGATGATAATTTGATGGAAGAAAAACGCACTGTCCATCCAGGCCTCGACTTGTTCCAACACATTTGACCTGACTTGCATTGTACCCTTCTGCCATCGCAAAGCCAATCGTACTCAGAGCTGTGGAGTCCGCGCCTGGATCCGTTGCATCGGTCTCCTGGAACTGGATCCCGGATGAGGGCATTTGGAAAGCATATTTCGAAAGCACGTCGAGCGACCGTTTCCAGAACCCGTCCGCGCAGTTGTGGCGTTATCTGAGCAAGTGGGCAACCAGCATATGCAGCTTCAGTGATTGAACGCTTGTCAAAGCCTTTGGCAGCTTCCAACGAAGACAAAGGGATGATGCTGAGATGACGAAACCCTATGCTTGAAGCTATTCCCTGCGCAAAACGCCACGAGGTCATGGGCAGATGTCGGAGTTCCCTGCATTTCAAGTCCAGCCAGCAGCATGGAGCATGGATCAAGAAAGACAAAACATCCCCATAACCAGCTACCCTTCAGCAAAATCAAACAACACCATGGCCCTCCAATGATTATTCACGGAAGGATCCAAATCACTGATGGCTTTCTAAATCACAGGAGTGTCTGCGAAAGCGTACTGTCAAGTAGAGGACATGATTCATGATTCAGTAAGTTTATCGCTTTTCAGGGGGAGCCTATCCATTGTGCAGGTTTTAGCCCAATTCCTGAAATCATGACCGCACGTTTTGGCGGTTGTTGTACTTGTATGTACTTGTCACATCTTGTCACACTTGTGTGTGCATGTGTGCCAAATGAAGGGCCACATGCACTTGATCCTGTGTTCGCACACTCACTCGGCAAAGGTGCTTGAGCCAAATAAATATCCGGTTCCAACATCGGATGACGTGCGATGAAGCAAAATGGTTTTCAGGGAAGGTGCAGGTGGCTTGACCAGCATCTTGAGTAACAAAACATGGAGTATCATGGAGTTACACACACACATATATTGCGGAATGAAAGTATCCTGGAATTGGTTTCATGGTATGACCGTATGACATACATGTCCTCAAGATTCATGCTGGTGCTTTCGTCACAGATCTTCAACAGTGAACGTGTACTGCAATCCTAAGACTTCGAGCCGATTCCTGTCGAAGATTCCTCAAAACTCATACCCAAACAATGCCCCAAACCCTTTCCAACACGATAGTTCCACCAGTACCCTGGAAACGATTTGTCTGTTCGCTGTTTTCATATCAAAACGCCGGAAGGAAGCAAAACAAAACATGGCCCTTGAGGGCCCAGTCCCACTCCGATGACTTTACAAACACATGCAACCACCCCCTTCAGAATGGATCTGAACAACCAACAGAGTCTATAGAGGTGACTTAGACCAAAAGGTGCACCACTGCCTTTTTGATGCTCTTTGCGCCCATCTTTCCCAGCTTCGAGAGTTGTCAGTTCCGCGTGAGATGGACCGACTGTTGCAACAAGTCACAACTTTCTCTGTTGAGACGCGCTGAGACGCAGCCATGGTACACGATCTCTTACTGAAGCGATTTCACATTCAGCAACAAACATCGACATGTACAAACTCTGTGGAAGAATCTATATATGTTCAGTGATCCCACCAATGAGTGCTTCGCTTTGTGGTTGACAATATCCTTTTCCGACGCGTCCGCTGATGGTACAACTGCAAAAGACTCAACACGTATCATTTGACCGCCCACTCAAATCACCGCACTTCAGTCTTCACTGGTCTGTTCTTATCTCCTACTTCAACAGTTCCTGACTCCCTCAGTTTCCCTGGAAAACCAAGGATAACCTTTCTCCACCTGTTAGATTTGAGTGGGGAACCAAGCCCCCCAGAAAGGGTATTTGATGTTGGTCCACTTTTCCTGGGTAGGGTTCAACAACCCTCTATGCAAGTGACCTATCTCTCGGGTCTATCCTATTACCTGTAACAGTGGATGATGATGGTTAGGTTGCAAGCCTTGTGCAAAAATGATATATGATGATTGTTTACTGACTGTTACAGGTAAGAACGGACAGACCCTACGTAGCCATCTCCATCTTTCAGCTCAGCCTCGGAATGTCTCATGTGCTTCGCGCTTGTCGCGGCCCCAGGCCGCCTCATCCGGTGCCGCACTCCGCGTGGGCGTGCAGAGCCTATAGCGCTTTTTCGGGCACGCGCCGCGGCGAACCGGGCCGTCGTGCGGGCGGCGAGATGGAACAGAAACACCCAAGTTTGGAGAACACAGATCTTCCATGTCGAAACAAACACTTGGGAGGCCCAGGGTAACTAATGCGAACCACTTGTGAGACTGAGAGTCAGAGTGGCTTCCAGGCATTCTCCGCCGGGCTCCAAGTGTTCTTAAAGTAATTTTGACATAACTTTGACACTAACTTTGACATATGTTGACTATTTTGAGACAACAGCGATTTGCTATTCAACTACACAGAGGGTCCCTCCAGCTCATCCCGCTCTTGATTGTGACTAGCCAGGTAAGTAGCACGTGTGCCATTCTGTACCACCAACCCTATAGATTGAACAGCTTACCCCATACATAGAACGTTACTTCCTGTTACTTCCAATATCTTCTAACTATTAAATTTAAATTTGACCCGACCTGGACCTTCCAAAGCGCCCTTGAAAATGGGACATGACATGATCCTATAAAAGGAGCAACTTTCACTATTTCTTGTGAGTATTGAGTATCAAACAAATTTGCACACAGCCTGCATGGAACACCAGGAGAATCAGCAAAAGTTACTACTTGTACCCATTTTCCCAGATTTCCCCAGGTACTTGGAGGGTCCAGGTACTTCCAGTAACATGATTGTTTGCCGCCCTTGATCATATCACCCACAAGCACCACTTATGCCTCGAGCTCGAACCCCGGACGTCCGGGCAGGTCCCCGCCTTTCGAACTTCGCCAAGCACCGCGACCTGACGGCATTCGAACGTGGAATTCCAAACGGCCGCCACGCCCACCTCGTGGGAGACACATCTCTGCGGCACCTCTTGGATTTGCTCCGAGAGTCACTGGGAAGAAATGTATACATCCAAGCAAATCCAAGCTGTTCGGAAAGTAAAACATATTCGCTCCTGTCAGTTTGGACAAATAAGAGACAACAAAAACTCGTCCAATTCCAAGCTGGAATTGTTTCACCCTCAAGCAGGAGGGGCAAAAGTTCACTTGGAGTTGATTTCCAGCCAGAAGGGGGATTTACTAAAATAAGCATTCATTCGATCCGCGACACCAGGACTTGCAACCACCAACATACAGTTGAAATACTGTGTTGATGCCTATTCCAACAGGTGGTGCACGATTTCTTCCATCAACAGGAGATCTCGGTCTCAGACGTAGCAAGCAGGTGGACAACATCCACAACATCCATTGGCCGGTACAACACAGCGTTGTCCGGAATGTGAACGTGTACGTTGGTGACCTAGAAATGCCACATGTCGCCCATGCCCTCTGTGAATGATGTATACCCTACAGGTCCAGTCTGACCCAGTAAGTCCTGGTCCTTTACGAGTACCTATCTTTACCTCATTTATATAGTGTACTGTTTTTAGATGACCGACACCAGTAAGATGAGGTCAAACTGACCTGGGACCTGTAAGGATAGGCGAGGCGAGGGGAAGGGGGAGGCCTATCACCTCTGCATGAACCTGCACTCACCAGGCCTATCGCGGTGTCGCCGCTGATCGTGTTTTGCGCCGCGCCTCTCGGTCTCCAGCTGCTGATCGTTGCAGCGCTGCGCCCGCACCAGCGCCACCTGCATCGCTCGCCCGGTGAGGCGACCTGGCGGCACGGAGGAGGTCCAAGGAGTCTGGGGAAGCCCATCGGAGCCCGGCTTGGAGCCAGGCGAGGAGCCATTCACCTGCTGTTCACCTGGGGTGATATGGGGGATATGATATGCTGATATGCTGGAAAGGACCATTTACATAGCAAGTGATATTTTCTGCTGGTTTGGACACAACAATGTTTGAAAAAATATGTTCCTTCGGAAGGATCCAGAAGATTCCACACAAGGGGGTTTACCCAGTTCAGGAAAAATACATCCCCTAAGCAAACCATACATTTGAACCTTGCTTTGGGGGATGATTCTCTCATTCTTTTGATCCATAGACTTAAACCATATTTACCAAAGGTTCACTACAATTTAAAACAAAAAAATAAGCTAACTTTCGTTCATCACCGTCTGGATGTGCACCAACAAGCCCCTGCAAAAGCAGCTTACAAATAGAAGCACAACCAGTCGCCAATGCCGCAAAGCATCACATTCCAAAAACTCATTCACAGCCACCTCAACTCTGATCTCCATCCTACCAGCCACCAGTTCACCTCCATCCATCATCCGTCTCACCCATCTCATCCATCCGACCTCCAGCAGATGGCGTGCTCTCTCGCGCGGCCGGCGACGGCGTGGCGGGCGTCAGCGCCGAGGACCGATCGGAGGGCTTCTCTGGGGAGATCAACTCCTGCGGCGGAGATCAAATTTGTGGAAACAATCAAAAGCTATATTCCACAGAAAGTTCCATGCTTTGAGGCTTTTGTGGCCAAAAGCCCAATCTTAATTGCATCTTTGCGGAGTCGATTTCTGGCTGCCAAACAACAAATCATCCTTCTGAATCAAAAAGTTCTAATTGGTATGATTGAAGTCCCTACGCCCGCAGATCGTCCTTGATGTGATCACCGCTGCGCAGGCGTACCGAGTAGGGCGTCACCGAGCGCAACGGGTTCTCCGTTTCGAAGCTACTGCCGGCCACGCCCGTTTTCACCAGCGAGCCTGGCAGTGACAGTTTCCGGTGCAACTGCAATGGTCACCGGTCACCGGTTTCGATGCTCTCTGCGGACGGTTAGCTGTTCAATGCTGTTCATAAAGAACAAATTCCATGAGATGAAACGTCATCAAAGTCAGCTTTCGAAAGGCTTGAGACAAACATAGACAAACTGAAGAACCTGCCGAATCCACTTCTTAGGCTGAACCCTCTAGGACCCTAGGAACGAACCTCTAGTTGAAAACAAACACCTTCAAACTTCAAAAAATAAAGGCATCATCATTACCATAATGAACAACAAAACATTGCCTTGTTGTCGTCATCAACTGAGTCCATGGAACCCTTCCAAACTTAATTGAACGCAGGATCCCGCTGCGCCGACCGTGAACACCGCCCCGCCGTTGTGATCGTAGATGGGCAGCCGCCGCCAAGGGATTCCCCCACTGGCGCGACCCTGGTCGCGGATCTGGACGCCCTCATCGTGGACCTCGCGCACTCATGCGGCGTCGGCGTGACGATGTAGTCGACGTAGGTCGATGTAGGGAGGTTTGTTGGGGGAGGCAAACAGTGAGATGCTTGCAAGGTGTTTGCAAATGCTTTCGGTAAAGCATCGGGGGAGCGTGATGTCGAGATGTACTACTAATTTAACATAATTATCACTTGCGGAATGACATGACTGATCTCCTGATAGTTCTTGAGCTTTCTTTGGGGTTTTGTCGGATCTTCTTTCCTTCTTTTGGGATGCATCAAGGGAACTTGATGAAGCGCGTGTGGATCAGGACTCCGTCTGTCGCAGTTATCGTTTCTTTGGGCAGTCAACCCACTGAACCCACACCCTCAGCAAACCGCAACTTGATGTTTCACGAATCAACAAACTCACACAAGCATACAAAGCAGGTTGAGTGATATATTCTCGATGCATCTTCGGCTGGCAACCTGTTTTTTTCACCTCATGTTCTCTTCCGCAGCCTCACCCTTTGTGGATGGATCTCTAAACCATTGAATGTGTGTTGTGACCGAGGCATCGATAAATCAAGCATGATATAACACACATTAGTGAAATCCAAGGTAGGAAAACCGAGACACCATGCTCAGTAAGTTCCCCTCAGGTCTACACCCCCACAAATGGGGCAAATGGACTCTGGCTCTTGTCATTGGCCCATTGACATAGAGCAAAATCGTCAAGTCGAAGTGTCAGGGCCTATGGGCCTATGTTCTGTGTCACTAAGACTTGAAACCCAAGTCCAAAGTTGTAGGAAGGGAGACAACCATGACGATACAGACTTGCTAGCTTCAAGTGGAAACTCCACTGAGTTTTAGAAAGACCTGCGGACTCTTGAGTGACCACGAACGGATCTTGAGTGACCCAGGCCGGCACGATCAACGGATCGGTCATCTAGCTCAGCCAGGGCGGATTCGCATGATTTTTTCAACTTTTTCCTGCGACCGTGGGGCCTGGGGGTGTTTGGAGGTGGAGGTGGAATTTCCTATCTTGAAACAAACCCACCTGGCGGTTCAAGCTATAGGCATGACCCACAGACCGCGACCATCCGCAACCCAAGTCCCGACCTGTAGCTGTCGTCTTGGTGCCACTGAACGTTCCCCATACCCGGACAGCACGGTGTCGAAGAGCACCGGGTCAGCAGTGCGACTGCGGCGTGTTGGGGCGCCTGTGATGCCGCCGGGTGTGATCCGCGTGATTCCGCTTGTGAGTACACTTATTTATTGGACAAACCAATTTGGACAAACCGCTGGGTAGACTAATAGGGGGGGGTTGGCTAATTGGAGGCTGGCACTAGTTTGGACAAACCAATGAATTACTGTAGGAGATCGAGGAAGTAGGAAGAACTGAAACAGCATAATTCTTGCGCCAGGGGTACAAAGAACAACCACTAGTCAAACTGTGCCACATGGCAAAACCAACCATTGTTGCAAACAAATCATACGAAGCTCTTTGGCCTCGTGGAGAATGGGTACTTAAAGGGAAACCACCTCGACCGGGAAATCCTGGTATACATTGTTTTGGTCTGTCAACTCTTTTCACAAAGAGACTCGTAGTTTCAGAGGTGGTCAAATAGCATCGCTGCCTTTTGTGGGTCTTCAAGCGGCGTGAGAAGCAGTCGGAGTGTCTAGTTCTGTTCGTTTCCCCTGGTACAAGACTGTTCCACTCATATCGTATCATGTTCTCCTTCAGACTCTAAAAGAGAGCTCCTCCACACCACGAATTGCTGCGTTCCGGCTGCATTCCGACAAATTGATGAACTGTGAGGCTTATCTCTCAGGCAGGACCCCAAGCACGACCACACTTGTCACATTGCTTCTCCTTTCAGGTCTGGTCTAAGCAAATTCGTCGTTTCAACTCAAGTGCAAGAGAGTGCAAGAGCTAGTCCCTCTTTGCATGTCAGCATTGCATCGGGCAAACTTTGGCCGCTTCGAAGCTTAGGTTGACCTCCTAGAGGCCTGGAAAGCCACGTCAGCTCAAAGGACTATATGCTGAAGCACACAATCCCTGGACACTAAGTCAACACCAACACCGTACTCAACGCAGGCATACTAAGAGATCGCATGTGGCCTGGTCCAGGAGAGAAGTCTAGACACTTCAGTACGCTAGTGCCGCCGTCGTTCCTCTTTGTCTCGCTGCAGTGCCAACCAGTCAACCTCTCGCCATTCTTCACCGGGTAGGGAAGCAGCTTCTGATGCATCAGCAAATCGGAACTCATAGTTGCCAGTTCTCTTTTGGAGACCCCATGCGCAACGTGACACACAGCGCATGTGCAGGCCCAAGGCTCTTGCAGCACTCAGGATTGAGCGATGCCGGATCCAATCAATATTGCTGTTGATTGGTCGGCTATAGACAGGCTTTGCGTCTGACCTGGGTTGCCTGGACCCATGCAAAATGGCATGAACTTGGTTTTCAGCAGTGGAGACCCACTCCAAATTGTCCATTTCATTGTTTCCTTTGTCAAGGTCTTTGTGATTGACAACGGTTTGGTGATCGGTAGGAGGAGGCCCAAGAAACGCAAAAGCCACCAAACGGTGAACAAACACATTCTGGTTGTACACCCAGGTCGTGTAGTACCCCGCTTGGGTGTGGTGCCCTCTGGTTACCAATCCAGTTCCCAAAGTCACGCGGCCCAAAGAACTCACCATCCGTCCTCGCACTAAAACACCTGACCTGGGATCAACCATCACTCGCCATTCCTCTCCAGGAAAACAAAGCTCACTGGCACCCTGGTACCTCAACTCAAATCCTTTGACTGCAAAGTACCCAGAGTCACAGATTTGAGCTGCAGAGTTTTTGCGGCAATATCTGGACACAGTCTTGGGGTGCATGCGAAGCTGGTACGCTGCCGCATCTGCAGATGGACAAGCCGTCCATGATGTCGACCCAACATGTCTCCACATTACAGGCTTCGACTGTGCAGGTCCAGAAGTGCACCTTTCAAGCCTGCAAAAGGAGTGCTGCACGTTCGCGCTAGGAGTTACGTATTCGAGGTTGTCCAGGCGATTGTTGGCTTTGTTGCCATCCACGTGATGGACTTGCCAGGCCTCTGCAGACTTGGTAAGTCCATGAAAAGTGATCTTCACCACACGATGCACCAAATGGCTCTGTCCAAACATGCTGACTGTCCTGTAGCCAGTAGAGGCTAAGCTTCCATGCGAAATGATTCCTCTAGTGTTGCAAAGACGCCCGTGCGAGCTCACCTGCCAACAAGTCGCAGCAGTAGATTGAAGCGACTGACTGGTGAAGAATCGCCATGTAATTGGCCAAGCATGAAACAAACCGCCAGGTGCTCGCGTCTGAACAAACAGCATCGGAGTCTTTTTATTTAGCAGTCCGGCTCAGGTACGAACCACCCAGTTTTCCGTGGGTTCAACACAACAACTAACTTTCATTTTTGCGATTGATGTAGAAATTCCACTTGAGTTCTGCATCGTTTTGATGGCTGAAAATCTGATACTCTGGCAACTGACTCTAGTCTCGCCTCAAACACATGGGAGCCAACTTGAGAGCCGGAGACATGGACCGAATAAACTCAAGAAAAGTGCCCCGGACCTGCCTTGTACATGTTTGAAATGTGGTATATACTTCTGGTAACGTGATGTGTCTTTCAATGTATTCTTGCTGCAAGGTCTCCAAGTAATAGATTGACACAATTATAGGATAGAGTGTCGTTACTGCCGTTACTGTAAGGGAATCTGCTGCATGAGGTTGTCCGAGACCCAATGCATGAAGAGGAATAAACAAACTGCACAACTCGCCATGTTCAAAGGTCAGGCCTTTCTCACTCTTTTGGAAATACCGCCATTGAAATCCTACAAATCATGATGGCAAATATTGTAGATGGCCCTGGTTGAACGACTGAGGATGACCCAGTAGAAAACATGTTGAACCTGGGGATTGTTGGAGTGCATTGACCCCGGCAAAACCTAATTTGTAAGGGTTATTGCGCACTTTTTGTCTTGCTCTCTTCTGCGGTCGCTGCCAGCACAGCAATAAAGATTGCAACATCAAAAGCATGTCCTTACAAAAGGAGACACACACACACA